AAAAAAAAAAAAAACAAAGAAAAGAAAAAGACACATTGAAAAAGAAGGGTACCATCAAAGAAGCGTAGAGTCCAACATCTGCAACATTGATGAAGAATGCTACCACAGCTGCTTTTGAGAAAGTGGGGCTGAAAGACAAAGAAGAATACCATTAGCTTAAGAGGGTGTTAAAAAACTCTCATTTGCTTCAAGAATGAGAAGCATAATGAATAAAAAATGTTTGGTTTTTACCTAGTCCGCAACAAGCAAATGGTATCGTTCACACAAGGCAGAGTCTTGAAAAGACTCGACTTTTTCGAGGGACCTTTTTCCAGAAGACGATCAGTTTCTGAGGTTTTCGTGCAAATGCCACTGGACTCTGGAAGAAACACTCGCATATAGAGCAACGCAATAACCGAAATCGCAGCAGCAACCTACATAGAGATTAAATTCTTTCACAAAGTTTTCTTGTATACTAAAAAATTGTATATAACAGAGTGGATGGGAAGTAGGAAAAAATACTTGAAATGTGGCTGAAGTAGATAGAAGACGAGCCGAGAAATTCCCGAATACGAAAGAAGAAGATGCAAAGCCCGACATGATCCCGAAAACAGCAGCCCGTTTGCCCTCTTGAACATTATCTGCCTAAGAATTTTGTTAAAAAGAAAAACAAGAAAGTGTAGAGTAATTTATTTAGCTAAGATTGTTTTGTAGCTTCAAGAAAATGGTGATGCTGAAATTTGCTAGAGAAAAAGAATGTATAAATTGATAAGGTCGTATATTACCACATATGCAAGGGCAAGAAACTGAACACTTCCTTCACTTGCCATGGAAATCAGAGTTCTGAGCATATAGTAAGCGTAGAAATAGTATTTTGTCCTGCTATAGGCCAAAATAACTGTGGCCATATACAATTATCATTAGTTATTTTTACACATTTCTTATATAGATAAATATTTTTTTGTTTTGAAATTCATTAATTACTAAAAATATCCAACATTATATATATAAATATTTTTTTTGTTTTAAAATTCATTAATTACTAAAATATCCAACATTATATATATTAAAATGACACCCGGTTACTTGTGACTTATCCTCATGTATTATCATAATTTTCTAAATTCACATTATTTAATGAATTTACTTTTAATTGATTAATAATTTTATTAATTTTTAGTTAGTATTAATTGATAACTTTGTTGACGGTTGAAATCGTCAACTACAATTAATTACGGAATATGAGTGAATTAATCGCGGGTTATTTGAAAAGAGTAACGTTTTAAGACGAAAAACGAAAGGACAAAGAAAAAAAAAAGCACGCAAATTTTGTCGATCTATTTAGGAGATCAATGTTTGTTATGTTTTTGTGGTATTTTATTGTGTTTTATGTGCTTGAGTCGAGTCATTTTTAGTTTCGTTTGAGTGTCAATCGGTCCATTTTATCGTATTTTATGTGTTTTTGCTTCCGTTATGTGCTTTTGTATTTTGTCATATCTTCGCGTCTCTTTTGGTGTGTTGTTAGGTTCAATTTGCAAATTTTGGGAAGATGGGATTTTCGAGCCATTATCGAGCCATCTAGACAATTTACGAACCACTCG